TACATGTGCAGGTAAAGGCATAATGGAATCTAGATGCCACACATGCATGGCAGGAGGGGTGATAGTTGGATCACACATTAGATTCCTTTGCATCTTATTGCTGGTTCTGGGGGAGCCTGATCGTGGGCTCCCCCTGCACCAGCAAGAAGCAAGCTTCTGTGGTTGGCAGTCCCCTTCTTGAGGTTGAGGGGATCTCAGCCACCTGGGGGCACCCCACAGCTCCAATCTGGATGATCCCTGCTGTAATGATTTCATACACCCATGAGGTGGGAAGATCCCTTGACCTGGGGACTGCAGTTGCTATAATCCCTAGGTCTTGGGAGTGCATGAAACCCCTGGATCCTGGGGATCACAGCTACCATGATTCATAGGGCTCAGGGGTTGTACATTGGGCATGGTGCACCCCTGAGGCTGGGAGCCTTGTCAGTTGATAGGCTCCCAGCCGCAGGGAAGATCCTGCTACACATGCAAAATAAAGCTTGATAACAACCAGCTATAAAGTTAATACACATTTTCAAAGTCTAATTTTATAGCTGGTTGGAACTTTTTATCGTGTGATAACTACTTTACACATGTAGCTGGTCTCCAGGTAGTTGCACAGTTAACCAGTTACATGTGCACTGCCTGTAATGTGTAGAAGGGCCTTAGCTGACAGATTTAATGATCACAGAGTAGACAAAAATGCTAGCTGTACAAAAATGTATAACACGCTGGAGTTAATGTTGTGGGAGAAGTCTTTATGCTTTGGAATTTTCTTACCTTTGAGTGCTTGACTTTACAACCATTGTGCTATATTTAGTGCATTTTATTTTCACCTAACTTTCCTGACTTTTTTTTTCAGATGAGTTAAGATGGGGTGGAAGAGAGATTCTGAGAGAGTAGTTTGTGCAGTATGCAAGTATCACAGGCTTTCCCAGTGGGACCGACAAGTTTTATTCTAAACCAATGTTTTAGTGGTGGTTACAAATGTGCTATAAATTCTTCAGTGGTAGGCTGAATAAACATCCTTGACTAACCCTTACTCCAGAGACACTGGGTTCCTTGAATTTACAATCTCATCCTGCTTTAGTAGCTGGACTTGTAAATTCCCCAGGTTCACAGGTTAATGATAAGTAACTAACAGTGTATGCAATTGAGGAAATGGGTTTGAATATAAGGTGTTTTACAAAACTTAACTGGAAGGACTGCTGGATCGTAGCTCAGACTGTTTCACTGACAGGTTTCAGTACACACTGTGCTTCCCTGCTTGAAAAACTGAGCTCTTCCAGTCTGACTAGTGGCGTGGATGCATATGTGATAGTTTCTGTATAGGGAATAGTAGGAGTTTATATTATAGAGACAAGGCAGCCACACACAATTCATCCTGTTCAACTTTTATCTACCATATTTTCTCACATAGCACACTTCCCTCCCCCAAAAAACCTTATTTTTGAAAGGCTGAATATAGAAAAAAAGATTATTGCAGGGTCATAGCTAACTGCGTGACTTAAGTCCTTGTGTGGCATCCCAGAAGACAGTCTGGATAAGGCAGCAGGAACTTCCTGGAGTGTAGCAACAAGGCTAGGCTTGCAAGGGCAATAATAAGACGGTTATTTTACTGTAAATAGTTCTTTATATAAGTCCTTGTAAATAATGAAGTGTTACCATACCACAAACTTCATCAAGATATACTGCATATTATATGCCCTGAGCCAGTTTAGTTGCTTCAGGCACAAGCTGCTGCGCTTAGCCAGTAGCTGTGGCTCTGAGAGGGTTAACACAGGGCTGTGCCCTCTTCTACTTGCTGCAACCAGAAGCAAGTAAATGCTGTGCTGTAATACTCTTCCCAGTTTCTGTTCCATTCAAGAAAAATCAGTTTCCTTGCTCAAGATACACGCTCCAACTTTGGAGGGCTGATTTGGGAATGAAAGGTGTGTGTGGTATTTGGTCTCTGATGATGAGTTTGCTGAAAAACTAAAAAGTTAGAAATCTTCAATATATGTTGGAGAACCCCATGTAGGTAAACCTGAACTTTTAACTAAAAAATGCCTAGACCTACAAACTCTGTGTTTGGTTGGGCAAACCTAACTCTTGATGACTCTAAGCAGCGCTTACAAACAGGAGTAGTAACTTCAGACTTGAGGCAAATATTTTCCCTAAATATTCTGAAAGTAAATGGAAACAATTTGGCTCAAACCCCCCACAGCATTATGAAAATGTTTTCCTTTATTTTGCGCTTATGTTGCCATGCCCCTTGCAGGTTTAATTTTGAAAAAGAAAACATTGTTCACTGAAAATCACATCAGTTAGAATTGAATTGAATTTTGTGAATTGAATTGAACATTGAATTTATTGTGACTAGTTAGTCACAATATTTAAATGCTGAGGAGGGGAAAGGGGAGCTTTCCATATAAACTTCCTGTATGGGTGGGCAGGGGAACATAAAAGCCTGAACTTTAGGCTTATGGATTGCTCACACGTTCACTTTGTACTGATGAAGCCACAATGGGCATAGGGTGAGAGATCTCATACTGCAAAGAGCATTTCAGTAGCAACTAAAAAAAAAAGAAGCTTAAGCAGTGTCTAAAGTTGAAAGACCCTCTATAGCTGGAATTGAGTCACCTTAACAAGGAAAATAATGAAAATCCATAGCATATGGATATCTTTAATATTTACACTACCCTGAAAATAATTGTACAGTGCGTGGGGGGGCAAATAAACTGAAAATCCCTCAGTCTGTTTTTGATTATTCTGTTGCAGTTTCTATGTTCCTTTATGGATTTATGTTGTGGAAGTGACATCAGACAGTGCTAGTTAAGACACTTGAGGGGCCTGGTATCAGATGTTCATGTGTTATGTGTTACCTGTAGCATTTTCGTATCACACATTAAATTTAAATGCGACTCTTATTAATACCAAATACAGTTTAAGTTTGGCAGTCACCATTTGGTTTGAAGTCGCTAATTATGCAGCAAAATCCTTCTATGGCAAACATTTGCTTTACAGCCCTGCTTGCATCTGAATTTTTAAATTGTAGTTTACTCCAGACACTTCATGTTAAGTTGTTTTAACTCTTCTGGGGACTTACTTCATAGTTCTCTCCATCAGTCAGTCTTATATTCTTAGGTAAGAAATGCTCCTTAACTGTTTCTATAA